AGGGATAAAGAATATACAACCTGGAACATCTGAGTACCTCTGAGGGCTACTGACATGCAATGAATGATACATATGTATGTATACATAAACTTTTAAAACATACGCCTCTGTGGGCATCATCATCATCATAACGTACCCGGCCGTAATAGGCTCAGTAAAATCGTACCTGGCCACGTGGAGCTCGGTAAAACCCAACTAATCAGTGGTTGCACGATGGGTGTCGTACCCGGTCGACTATAGCGCGACTCGGTAGAGTAAAATAGATACATATATATAATGCATGCTCGACTCATGGAATCACATTCTAAACCTTTCGAAGTGACGTAAGGTCGGTATCCGTTGTACACGTTATTAGGACTAACTCTTAACTATGAACCTTATAAGAATCAGGAAGTACCAACAACATTGATAACATAAGAATAAGATAAGAAACATTAACATCAATCGTTCCATTAGAGGGAAAACAAAGTAAGTACTACTAGCTTCTAAGAGTAGAGTATCTTTGGAAGCTCATTCATTACATTATGTACAATCAGAGTTGTGCAAAAGAAGGAAATGGATAGCCTCACATACCTTGTATATACTGCCTCAATCTCAAGTTATGCAATTGTCACAACTCCTTAGTCTACAATAAGAGAAACGATACTATCGTTATCATTTAAGCGTCATAACTATTATGTATCGACCACAACCTATTTTACGATGAAACGGACAGCACCTCTCCTATATATTACTTCACACAATTCAAAACAATCACCAACCAGTCCAAACAACATCAATAATAATCATATTGAGCCTCCCAAAAGAGTCCATGCACAACCTAATCACTTCATACATACGACGGCCACCGTAGTCGTGTCAAATGATCCGGAAATGTTACGAAGAACTATCAGCCCACAACCCTACATATATATGGTATTTATCCACACCCTTACACCTCAAAAACTCCACAAAACAGTAGTAAAACATGCAGCCCAACAGCAACACAACCAGTCCATAAAACAGTCCGCTACAAGTGAATAACTCGAACTCACGGCTTTCGATCACCGTCCTATGAGTTCTTACATGTATAGAACGAATTACCATGAATTCACAGCAGAGAAAAATGTATGAAAGATGGCAGTAACTTACCTTACTTGTTGGATAACTCAGCCCTTCCCTTGGTTCTTCAAACTCTAGGTTTTACCTTCAAATAGAACTTGAAAGAGAGGAAAAATCGATTAGGCTTTGTGTGAGATTTTTGGGGAGGAGTTGTAGGGGTTAACTTTGGTTTTGAGGGTCTGAAATATGTATGAAATAACTGAATTCATAACCCCTTAAAAGTCCTTTCTTGGCCGACTTAGGTCTTTTAATTTTGTCCTATCATTTTGGCAAGTAGTTGATACACCTACTTGTCATCTACCAATTTGTGCAGGCTTGCGAAAATATGAATATCTCTATACTCCGAGATCGTATTGACAAACGGTTTAATGTGTTGGAAACTAGACTCATAGATATTTAATTTTGTGGTTAGATCACCCCGTAATTCTTTGTAAATTGGGAGAAAAGCTTAGAAACATTTGACCTAATGTTTAAGTAAAAGTATGAACCTAAGTTGCGACAACGTTTGTCGACTTTTGTTTCATAACTCGTTTGACATCAAGACTTATGATACGGATATTATATGATTAAAATACCTTAATACATGACCTCTTGAGTATATTAAGAACCTCTAGGTTTATCTGAAAATACGAGTTACAACATCCTTGATTTGTTTATCTTCTAATACTTGTTAATCACCCTTATACACCCTTGTATCACTTAAGACCAATAGGATTAACTTCTTATAATCTCAAAGGTAATTCCTTCTTGGATTTATGTTAACTAATATATGGCATGAACTAACGCGTGTGGATATGGGTTGTAACACTATATCTAGGGCCCCCTATCTGCCCAGGACCATAACCTAAAACTCATCAACATTATAAAAAATGGGACATTTGACCTTAGAGACCTATCCTTTGAAATCCCCAAAGAACTCATCACCAAAATAAAGAGCACTTATATCAAACAATCTCTGACCCTAACGGATATATTAGCTTGGGACTCCAAAGAGTATAATTACTTCTCTACCAAAGCCGCTTACGAGGCAGTCTCTGACAATAAGTGTGAAAACACCAAGGACTACTCTTGATTGTGGAAAATTAAGTCCATAAACAAGCTAAATACATCCTATGGACAGTCGTATGAAATAGGTTACCCACCAAACATATGTTAGCTAGAAGAGAAATATGTCATGACGACATTGTAGCATATGTACTAGGGAGGTTGAGGACTCTAAACACATCTTCTTCAACTACAACTATGCAAGATCCATCTGGTCACAAACAAGAACTGACCACCTCTTTCCCCTAAAATCTTCGGATAAAGACACCTGGTTTAATTGGCTTAAAAAACAGCCTAAATCTGAAAAATACTTTAATAGCCACCTCCCCTATGTTGTCTTTCTCCCATTCCTACTATGGTATATCTGGAACTTTAGAAATGGGACTCTCTTCCAAGGAAAAAAAAACTCCCATCCATAGATATCCCCATTAGCAAAGTCGTAGAATACTTGTACACGGCAAAAAACCTTTGTATGAATCAATCTAAGAAAATAATCCTTATTAAATGGGAACCCCCCTCCACAAATTTCTATAAGCTTAATATAGATGGGCAATGCAAAGGGAATCCTGGGGTGGGAGGAGTAGGGGGTATTTAGGGATAGCAGGGGTCAGTGGACCCTGGGTTTTAACATGCGAATTGATCATGCTACTAACATTTACATGGAAATCCTGGCCATACTGCATGGTGTCAAAATAGATCTTAAGGAAAATCTCCTCCCACTAATAATTGAAACTGACTGTCTGGAACTGACATATCTATTTCAATCGAAAAACTATCTCTACAAAAATTTGCTTTATGACTGCAGGTACCTATTGGGAAAGGCGAATGATCCACCGGTGAAGCACATCTTTAGAGAGGCTAATGGTGTGGCGGACCTATTAGCTAAGAATGGATGCAGCTTGGACTCTTTTTGCTTTTTGCACACTTATGTATCCCCTCCCGCTTTTGTTCTTCATGTACGAGAAAGAGACAGTCTAGATACCCTGTTACCTAGACTGACCTCCCGTTGTAATAGCTCTTAGTTTGTTGTATTAATAAAATCGTCCATTACCAAAAAAAATACATCAGTACATGCACACAGAACGCATACGTGTTCCTAGACATACTTGTATGATCAAAAGCGAATTCAGGATTTAAGTTCTGTGCATGGGTTCAATATTTAAGGTTTTAGCATTGAACCTATTGTATTTTTAAAATTACAGGTCCATATATGCCATTTCGTTTAATTTTAGTAATTTTTATAAATAAATTGCATCTAGGGATGTCATTGGAAATTAAAAAAATCGACTAAACTGATTGAACCGTACCGTACCATTTTGGGAGGAGATAAAATTTTCTTTGGTCGGAACATTCTCTTTGAAATGTCCAACAACTATCTTTTAAAAAATGGAAAACACATTTTTTCTCAGTTTGGATAACTGGATCAAAAGATACGACATTGATTCCCCAATAATGTAGGGAAAAAAAACGTGATTTTAGTGTATAAAATAGTGAAAGGCGATTTGGAACGGAGGGAAAAATAAACATAGTAAAAGAGAAGACAAAAAAACCTTATCTCTTAGAGTGTTGTCGGTACGAACGAAAATATTTCTTTATGAATAGTTTTATTAGTTATTTTTCCTTGTTTGATTGGTATGTGAACATATTTTTAGTGTTTGGTCAGAGAGTAGAAAATATTTTTTTACAAAACAAATTTTTATGCTACTCTCTTCTTCCTCCAAACCCCCTTTCAGAATCTACAACATAAAAAGAAAGTATTTGCGGTGGGGGTGGGGGCATGGCGGATTTAGGGAGATAGAAGGGGGTTCACCTCCTTCGCCTAAAAATTACATTGTATATTTAAGGCAATATCTGTTTTTTACCTATATATTATGTTTGAATCCCTTTGGCATAACCCAAAATAGAGGTGGTGAAATGGTTAAAATAGAGGTGGTGAAATGGTTAAAAGAAAATAATTATCCACGCATATTATCCATCGAAAAATGGGATGGATAATGAACCATTTAAAAGTGGGTCGAATATGGATAAGAACTATTTATCCACTTAGAAAATGGTTAACCAAATGGATAACTAATTGATAACTAGTGTGTTTAGCTTTTACATTTGTAAAGCCGCAAATTGGGGTTCCTCAAGTTTGGAAGACTAGGAATTCTCACATGAGTGATCATATTCAAAATGCCATGAATAATATGGATATCCATATTATCCGCTGGATAATCCGTTTTTTGTCTGTCTCAAATACGGGTCGAGTCAGATATATTCATTTTTTAAATTACCCATTTTGACCCCCTCATATCCGACCCGACCCGCCCGTTTGCCACCACTAGTCCAAAAGCATAGATTAGTGGTCAAGGGGGTTCAAAACCTTCGTAAGGTCATTGGTTCAATTCTCACTACCTATAATCTTCTTTAACTTTTTTTCTATTTTGAACCCCCTTAGCTAAAATCCTGCTTCCGCCACTCGTTGGGGCTTAGGTGGGGATGGGAGTGTGTGGGCGGGGTAGGGATGGTGGGGAAGGAGAATAGAGTGGGGAATGTTGAAAAAAGATTTTGAAAAATATTTTCCCTTCTCTTGATAGAGAAAACATTTAAACGAGTTTATTAGAAAATATTTTCCAAAATATTTAAGCCCACCAAACATGAAAAAATTGGAAAATATTTTCGTTCGTACCAAACACACCCTTAACATTATAAATACTTATGCCTTCTCTTCAATTTGAGTCATCTCACTCTTCAGTCATTCGTCCTAGAGTTTCTTTCTTCACTACAAGAATACAAAATTCTAACTAATACCAAAAGTAATTTAGCAATGTCCCGAGGCAATAATATTGTGAAGCATGAAGAAGAAGAGATCGTTCGCCCCGTCGCCAACTTCTCTCCTAGTCTATGGGCTGATCAGTTCCATTCATTCTCCTTTGACAATCAAGTATACATTCATCATCTTTTCTTTACATATAGTCTCCTCTTAATTACATGCAAGGCCAATGTAATATAATATTTGTTTTACTTTTGTAATACATTTATAGGTTGCAGAAAAATATGCTCAAGAGATTGAAGTATTGAAGGAACAAACAAGGAGCATGTTATTAGCTACTGGACAGAAATTGGATGAGACAATGAATTTGATAGATGTTATTGAACGCCTTGGCATTGGCTACCATTTTGAGAAAGAGATTGATGAGATTTTAGAGCATATTTACAATGAAAATACAAATTTTGAGGGTGATGATTATAATGATTTATGTACTTCTGCACTTCAATTTCGATTGTTTAGGCAACATGGTTACAACATTTCTCCTGGTAAGTTCATTATAAAGCATGCCTTAATGTTGTTAAAATTATTATCAATTTATTGGAAGAAGGCTAATTAATCTTGAGTTTTTCCCTTTTAAATCCCAGAAATTTTCAGCAAATTCCAAGATGAAAATGGCAAATTCAAGGAGTCTCTTGCTAGTGATGTCTTAGGATTATTGAGCTTGTATGAAGCTTCATATGTAAGGACTCATGCTGACGATATCTTAAAAGACGCACTTGCTTTCTCCACTATCCATCTTGAATCTGTAGCTCCACATTTTAAATCTCCACTTAGGGAGCAAGTGACACATGCCCTTGAGCAATGTTTGCACAAGGGCGTTCCTAGACTAGAGACACGATTCTTCATCTCATCAATTTACGAGAAGGAGGAATCAAAGAATGACATGTTACTTCGATTTGCCAAATTGGATTTTAACTTGCTTCAGATGTTGCACAAACAAGAACTTGCTGAAGTATCAAGGTGTGATTATATTTTCTTTTGGGAGAACATAAAGATAAACCTTTTGTTATTTCACAAATGCTAATTTTAACTGGCTGGTTTTGCCGTAGGTGGTGGAAAGATTTGGATTTTGTGACAACACTTCCATATGCTAGAGACAGGGCAGTAGAATGTTACTTTTGGACAATAGGAGTATATTTCGAGCCTCAATATTCTCAAGCTCGTGTCATGCTTGCTAAGACTATAGCGATGATTTCAATCGTTGATGACACATTTGACGTTTATGGTATAGTTAAAGAACTTGACATATACACGGATGCCATACAAAGGTAAAAATAATTAGCTTACTTATCGCTCCTTGAAAGTGAATAGCATGAAATAAAAGATCAAGACGAGCTCTTAGTTTGCGCATTATATTCATGCTGTAATTTAAAATACATAAATTTTCTTTGTGACCCTGTAGGTGGGATGTTAGTGAAATTGATCGACTTCCTGATTACATGAAAATCAGTTATAAAGCTCTTTTAAATCTTTACGACGACTATGAAAAGGAATTATCCAATTATGGAAGATCTAATGTTGTCTACTATGCGAAAGAAAGAGTATGTGTCTCAAATCTAACTATCCAATTAATACTTTAACATTGTTTGTCATATAATTTTACCTTGTCCTCGAGTTTTTTATACTTGGAACAATAAAACTAATTTCAGTTTTTATGGTGTAACTTCTAACAGTTGAATGTATTTGCTTGCTATTGACAGATGAAAGAAATAGTAAGGAATTATAACGTTGAGGCGAAGTGGTTTATTGAAGGATATATGCCACCTGTCTCTGAGTACTTGAGCAACGCATTAATAACTAGCACTTATTACTTGTTAACTACAACGTCCTATTTGGCCATGAAATCTGTTACCAAGAAGGATTTTGAGTGGTTAGCAAAGAACCCTAAAATTCTTGAAGCTAATGTAACATTATGCAGAGTTATTGATGATATAGCGACGTACGAGGTATGGATATTATCTCCCTAAATCATATGAAATTTGAACAAACTAACGCTATAATAACAATTGAAGCAATATAAAGCTCATATGCAATCTATATTCCTTTGCAGGTCGAAAAAAGTAGGGGTCAAATTGCAACAGGAATTGAGTGTTACATGAGAGATTATGGTGTATCTACTGAAGAAGCAATGAATAAATTTCAAGAAATGGCTGAAATAGCATGGAAGGATGTAAATGAAGGAATTCTTAGACCAACTCCTGTCTCTACAGAGATTTTAACTCGTATTCTCAATCTTTCTCGCATGATTGACGTCGCATATAAGAACAATCAAGATGGATACACTCATCCGGAGAAAGTCGTAAAGCCTCATATTATTGCCCTACTTGTGGACTCCATCAAAGTTTAAACTGCCAATGCTGCTCATGTTGAGAAAACATTATTCTCTTTTATTGAGAAAATAAATATTTGTTCGCTTTTTTTAAAAAAAAAAATTATGTCATACAAATTAAAGTTGCTAATAAGCTGCCTTTCGTGATGGAGCAGTATAGTTCCTATGTAGGAAATCCTTAAATCATTATAAGAAATAATATCACATGTTCAATTCTTTTTTGTTTTTATGTTGGTTCTTATTGCCTATCTTAAATTGAATGTATAGGAATATTTCTGCCAATTGCACCTCAAATAAGACTTTTAGTTAGAACACGGAAGAACTCCAGCAAACTGTGTTAGAGAGTTCAAGCTTTTACAAGCAAAACTCCGGCAAAATGTAGTGGAGTTCAAAAACTCCCTATAGGTAAAACTCCTATATACTATGCTGGAATTTCAAACTTTTATAAGTGAAACTCCGACACAGGAGTTCGAAGAATACAGTAATCTAATCGATTTCGCGATCAGCGAAAGGGCGTAACAAAACTTAAAAACATATATTAAAAAAACTGTATGTCGCTGAATCTGAAAAAGATTCTAATTATATAAACCTGCTTAGGTGAGAATCTGCAAAGAAGTTGAAGAACGAGTAAGTTTCAGATGATGCATCTCCCTTTTCGAATTGATTAGAGAAAAATATTTGTTGAGATTTTAGGATGCGTATTTGTATCAAACATATTTTTAGGTTCTTGCACAAGAAATGCCAGGGAGGCAAACTTTTGGCTTCGTAATTCAGCAGAAAGAAAATGATAAGTTCAGCTGCTGTCAACTACCAATTCTAGAAGCCCACCATTGTTGAAGCCACCAACCCATTCTAGAAGCCACCATTGTTGAAGCCTCCATTGTTGAATGAAGAATTCAACCACCAACCACCTTCTTTAAGGCTATAAATAGAGCCTNTTTTTGTAGAGAGAAATTCTTGGTGTAAATTCTCTATAATTCTATTCTTGTGAAATAGAGTTGTTTTTCCTCCCAAATAATCTTCATATTGATCCGAGAATCACAACAAGTGGTATCAGAGCCTTCGATTCTGTGTTCATCGAGAAATATCGGAACACTGAAAATTTCAACCCGGATTTACGTTTTTTCGAAAACGTGATCTTCGGTGTGTTTTGATCATTTCATTAGATTCTTTGCGTCGATACGAATTCAACGCAATTTTCCGAAGGCCAAACAAAGCTAAAACGAAGAAGTTATGGCAATTTTTTTTCTTCTGCCCAAAAAAGAAGATGATGAATAGTAACTGCCCAGTCAGCGCCACATCATCATCCAGTCAGTGCCACGTCAGCATCCAGTCAGCGCCACGTCAGCATCCAGTCATCATAAAATTTTTAGAAATTTATGAAATAACCCGTGAAGTTACTGAAATTATAAATCTGCCCCACAAGTTCAGTATATTTTCGATTTAACCCCAAAAGTTTGGTGTAAATTTTGAAAATTTTCTGGAGGCCCTATTTTGACACAAGAAGAGTCAATCCTACCATTTTTCACCATTCCGGACGTGTTGGTGAGTTCCGTTTGGTGACATTCCCCTCCAAATTTTTGACCAAGCCATTTTAAAGACATAATGGAAGAGGCATCATCATCTGGAGCTATGATAAAGCTTACTGCCACAAATTACACATTGTGGAGACCTCGGA